TGCTTAATAATTTCATGAACAGTTAGAAATGCACAAGCATAACACAAATTCTTTTGATTATTTAATTTTATATAATATATATAATATATAGGTATTTTTTCGAGGTGGACGGGGTCCCAAGACCCCGTGGGACCCTTAGTGGGTCCGCCTCTGAGTACACCGGACGAGCACACACACTCGAACACTGGCCAAGCACACACACTCACGCCACCGGATCACGTCATATGGGTGTGATGATTAATAAGCTCCAATATAAATGTTAATACCGTGCACTATTAACTTCATACGAGTTCTTGCGTGCTCTTACCTCTTCATAGGGCATCACACTCCGACCTCGGGGGACGAATCACCCGTTCAAAAGTTTTTACTTGCGGGTTCGAACTACTAACCTCAGGCGGCGAGTTAAACTCTTGTTAGGGGCCTAGAGCCACGCTCTTCCGAGCAATTTTGTCACTTAATTGACATTCACATTCCTCGAAAACGCTGATATACTTTAGTTCTTTGGGGTTGGATTATCCTTTCGAGTGAGGAGTCCGACTCACTTACTCGCGGATTCAATCTTTCTTTCGGAGACTGGGTTGAGGAGTAACTTGGGAACTTGGTGTCACTCTTTTCAAGTGGTGAGTCCGACTCACTTACACACTGAGCCGTGGTTCGACACTGGGCCTGATGCTCTATTCTACACTTGTTACTTATATGTGTAGGTATGACTGAACGAAGACGAGCCTGATGTGTCTGAACCCGGTGAGAAGAACGATTCTAGTCATCCTCTTCGCAGATGGTGACCATTGCAATAAAAGGCTGACGATTTCACCCCTTGCTTCATCTTGGGGGCATAAGGTGCACTCTCTTTCCTTTTATTAGGATTTTTTCACATTGGGTTTTTTCCTAGTGAAGGTTTTTAATGAAGCATCTTCCTAACATGGACAAGGGCGGGGATCTTCTAGTCTTGGAGAAGAGCAACTGACAAGGACTACTCCCTCCCATCCGAGTCCCCCACTCCCTTAGTCGAGTAGTAGACTCGAATGGGAGGGAGTAGTCCAAGTCAGTTGCTCTTCTCCAAGCCTCTTTGCAGATGGTGACCATTGCAATAAAAGGCTGACGATTTCACCCCTTGCTTCATCTTGGGGGCATAAGGTGCACTCTCTTTCCCTTCATTAGGATTTTTTCACATTGGGTTTTTTCCTAGTGAAGGTTTTTAATGAAGCATCTTCCTAACATGGACAAGGGCGGGGATCTTCTAGTCTTGGAGAAGAGCAACTGACTTGGACTACTCCCTCCCATTCGAGTCTACTACTCGACTAAGGGAGTGGGGGACTCGGATGCGAGGGAGTAGTCCAAGTCAATTGCTCTTCTCCAAGACTAGAAGATCCCCGCCCTTGTCCATGTTAGGAAGATGCTTCATTAAAAACCTTCACTAGAAAAAAACCCAATGTGAAAAACTCCTAATGAAGGGAAAGAGAGTACACCTTATGCCCCCAAGATGAAGCAAGAGGTGAAATCATCAGCCTTTTATTGCAATGGTCACCATCTGCGAAGAGGATGGCTAGAACCGTTCTTCTCACTGGGTTCGGACACATCAGGCTCGTCTTCGTTCAGTCATACCTACACATAAAAGTAACAAGTGTAGAATAGAGCATCAGGCCCAGTGTCGAACCACGGCTCAGTGTGTAAGTGAGTCAGACTCACCACTTGAAAAGAGTGACACCAAGTTCCCAAGTTAGGCCTCAACCCAGTGTCCGAAAGAAAGATTGAATCCGCGAGTAAGTGAGTCGGACTCCTCACTCGAACGGATAATCCAACCCCAAAGAACTAAAGTATATCAACCTTTTCGAGGAATGTGAATGTCAATTAAGTGACAAAATTGCTCGGAAGAGCGTGGCTCTAGGCCCCTAACAAGAGTTTAACTCGCCGCCCGAGGTTAGTAGTTCGAACCCGCAAGTAAAAATGTTTGAACGGGTGATTCGTCCCCCAAGGTCGGAGTGTGATGCCCTATGAAGAGGTAAGAGCACGCAAGAACTCATATGAAGTTAAGAGTGCACGGTATTAACATTTATATTGGAGCTTATTAATCATCACACCCATATGACGTGATCCGGTGGCGCGAGTGTGTGTGCTCGGCCAGTGATCGAGTGTGTGTGCTCGTCCGGTGTACTTGAGTGATCAGATTTCATAAGTCCATTGTTCAATGTTAAAATTACACACACTTAACAAGAGTAAAAGCAATCATATATCACTTAAAATATCTTTTCAAAGGTTTCAGTTTTTTTTTGCAAGGTCTCTTTTTGCAAGGTCTTTTATAATAAATAAAAAAGGAGAAATGAGCACTTAACTTCTTGGGCTGATTATGGTCGGTTAGGTGAATTTTGAATTCTAAGCCCCAAATAAGATTTGGTCAGCACCACTTGTTAGAGGAGAATCATGTCCTCACAACTTTGCACGGCCGCTGGTTCGAGGGTAAGATAGTGCCACACTGACTGTGGGGCTGTGGGGATGGAGCAATGACCACCGTAGTGGAGGGCAGCGGCTCTGGTCGTCCCTTCCGGCAAGTTTGGTGAAAGCGTCAGAAACCACCATCATGACATGGCGAAGGAGAGAGGGCTCCGCATCCGCCGAGCAGCAGATCTATCCAAGCCGCTGTGAACGACGCCACACCTCAACTTGTGGGATGAAGTTGGACGGAAACGAAGGGCAGGGACGCAAGAATGACTGGTAGCAAAGAACCAGCTGCGAGCGGCGATTCTGCGAGATGGCAGGCGGGTAGTGACCTGCGAGCGGTGATCGGACAGGAGGAGCGAGCGGCCGGGGCAGCCGATCCACACACGCTCCGTTCTCGGGCCCTGCTGCTCTACTCAGGGGTCGCTAGGGGTATTCCGGTTGGGGTCGACACTTATCTTCTCCGTATGACGGAGGGATGCACCAAGGCTGGGAAAATTGAACATCAGTGCTTGGATGCGGCTTGACAGGCAGGTTGTTCCAACATCTTTTTGCAATCTGGAATTCCAGATCTAAATCTAGGATTTCCCGTAACATTTCTTCATTTTCAGACAGATTTTTTGTTAGATCCTTTGAAAGTGTAATGATTTTTTGGAATTTTTGTAAGGATTTTGACTTGATTTTGCTCAAACTCTCAATGAAAGCACCAACGTTGGTCCAAAATAGGACGCTCGTAGGATTTTAGGAAAGCTACGTACGACACTCAAGCAGGAAATCAATAAAATAATGCAAATAAGGAAAGAAGTTAAAAGTGTTTCGTTGCCAGAAATAGCATATAGAAATCGCTTCGTCTAATCTGAATTACAACCTGTCTTTTATAGGCATATACAAATCGTAACTGTTACCGATAATAATGACTAATTAATTACAACATTAATACGGAATTTAATACATAATTAATTGCACATTAATGCTTGACCGTTACTCTTCCGGGCTAGGAGATCGGTGAGATAGCAGGCTCCCCGCTGGACTGACAGGCAGGCTCCAGGTTGTAGACTTAGATCCATGGGTTCAAGTTCGGGGCTTGGGCTGATTAGGCTCTGGGTCTAGTTCCATAACTACATCACATGCATCTAAGTTTGATCTTCCATTAACGTGAGTAACACTTTTTCATAACATGTATTACATCACAAAATAATCCTCAACTATTGAAACAAAAGGCCCAACAGGCCCAAAAGGCCCAACAGGCCCAAATCACAGCGCCCAGAGTACCAAGCAGCCCGCACTACGCGCCAGGGGTGCCTTCGGCCCCCTGGCCGAAGGTTCCAAATTCTCACAGAACGGGTTTCTCAAGCAAACTAAGAAACTGGGAGAAAACGGCGAAAACAGCAGCCCTCGGCACTGTGAGCCCTCGGCACCAGGGGTGCCATCGGGAGGAAGAGCCCTCGGCTACTGCTCTATAGCCGAAGGCATCTCACTCGACAAGATATCCGCCTCACATGCGTACAGATCACCGTACTCTGCACAGACGTCCCATCCAACAGCCGCATTAAATGCGGCCACATGCGGCTGCCAGCGCCAACCAGTTGAGGTGACCCTTCGGCCAATGAGCGCTTGACACGTGTCCCTGCCCGGCATTTATTGCTGCTATAAATAGCACCCCATTTCCTCATTTGTAACCACGCTGAAAAGTGATAACACACTGAATACACTCTCTCTCTACTTTTATTTACTTGCTCTGGCTTCTCTCTAAATTACTCCCCGTAATAACCCCTCGGATATATACCCCCGGGTAGACTATCCATCAGCATCCAAGCGCGTGTACAACCGTCGTATGACCAAGTGACGTCACTCGCAAGTCAACGTGTCTTGATCATACAAGGCGTCCATGAACATAATACATTCATACTCAATAGTAAACATACGTAACAACATCACAGTTTAGATAAGTTGAATATCGGAAATATTCAGTATTCAATCGTGGGCCACACCTGGCCAAAACGTAGGCTCGCAGGCCAAAAATAATATAATAATACAAAAAGTATCCATGAGCATAGTTTATCGTTTGAAATAGTAAAGGAAACACGAACCACGTCTTCCTCTAGATTCTCTTCACCCGTGCAAAGATGTAGATGACAAGCCTTAGCTTCAACCTGAAATGGTGCCCCCCTCAAAGGGATCAGTACAAGTAGCGAGCGAGTAGCAAGCTAAATATAGAATAACTAGCGTTTCAAGTATAAGACCCAAACATAGGGTGATACTTAAGTAAATAATCTTTTCCTCCAAGTTAAGAAGTACTTAATAGTATTCGCTCCGTCCCTTAAAACTTTGCCGTCTTTCCTTTTTGGGACGTCTCAAAAAACTTTGCCACTTTCCCTTTTAATCAATTATTTTGTAGTTTCTGTTATTTCTCTCTCCTCTTCACAAACCTCAACCACACAGTTTTTACTTTATTATTCTCCGTGCCGGTTAACTTTGGCAAAGTTTTAAGGGACGGAGGTAGTATATATGTACACCATCCCCAAAATTTATTAGATGGCGATTTTGACGGTTTTGATAAATAATGATTCACTGCCCACGTCAAGTCACTTAATACCAATATGGAGTCAATATATAGAACTTCAAATCACTTGATACAAAGATAGAACATAAATTGATTGATAAAACTTAGAGAAATTGTTTATCTTATTTCTTAATTCGACAGTGAAAATAGGAAAAACACACATCACAAAATGAATCATTGGAAACACAATCTATCAATATCGAAACGACGTTTTACTGAGCAGCAAGCGAGATAACCTTCTTCCCAATGTTCTTTCCATTAAAGATACTAACTAGAGCAGATGGTGCACTGTCCAACCCCATAGAAATGTCTTCAATGTATACCAATTTTTTCTCCCTCAATTTCTGAAGCACCCATTCCGTGTACATTGGGACAACATGCCAATTATCAACTTCTGTGAACCCTTCCACCCTCAAGCATTTTGTAATGATCCGAAACAAGTTGTGGATACCATCAGGCTCTTTCAGAGAGTATTGAGATATCATTCCACATATGCCGATTCTACCGTGATGATTCATGTGTCTGATTACCTCATCCAACATCGGGCCACCGACGTTATCGAAGTATACGTCGATGCCCTGGGGGCAACACCTGCAGCGTACGTGCATCCCGTTACAAACGTGCACCAAATATACGTACCGACATTGCATACAAATTAAACATGCAATTTAATGATGGATATATGGATCGAGCTAGGTAATTCTGCGTAGTGTGGTATCGTGTCTATAAAATATAGGGTCAATCTCTTGTGTAAACTATGTATGATGAGTCATTTGATAATGAAATCACATATAAATGTCGGCACAATTCACATATAATAATTATATTCTGAATATCTGATAGTGGAGGATTCTATTTATCAAGGATAGTCGCATGAATATCCAAAAATGTTGAAAATAAAATGAAGATTGTGGTAATTATTCATTTAGACACCCAATATTGTTGTAATAGTTCATTCTTACAACATTATTACTATTTCCTAGCCTTTTGTTGAGAAGAATACATTTATTGAATAGTTGGATAAATTATACTTCGTTTTAGTGTTTGAAATTTTAATTGTGAGCTAATTTTAAGCACCAAGGTTTTAATTATAAGGTAAAATGATAAATGTAACGGAAAGATTAGAAATGATTTTAGTAATGAACTAATGATAATGAGAGTGTTTGGCAATTGGTTGTTGACTGATTGTGTTGGCTGATTCATAACAACAGATTCTGTTATTAGCTGTTTTGATTAATTGATAATATTAGCAGTTTGTAAAATAGTGTTTGATTAAATGATTGTTTACAATCAACTGAGAACTCGTTAAATGACTATTAAGGATCAGACATTAATTATTTTTTAGCTTTAATTATTATTTTAGTAATATTCATGTTCATCATTTTATATATTCATATTTGTGATAATTTCTAAAGAAAACACACACATGTGCATGTGTGTGTCTTGATGCTTGGTAATGCAAACAAACTAATCATATTGTGGATAGTCATTTGAGATAATTATACTCCGCATTATTTTTATATTCATGAATTCATCAATTGGTAGGCAATGGTTGCTTGTGGTTCACTTGCAAATTGTGGAGCAAGGCGCAAAATAACATTTTATTGAACATACATATTTTGACAAGTGTGAGTGATTTAAGTGGAATATCAAATCCGACACTTGAGAGATCATCCCATGTGGATGGGAGGCATTGATTTAAGGTCATCAAAGAGGTAAACCGAAGAGGTTTTCCTTGAATGATGATCTTCTGTCCCGAACTATTTTGAGTGATGGAACAATCAATGTTTCCTTTTGCTTCAATTGGTCGTTGAGAGTTGACTTCTTGGTAGAAGTTTAATGGTGTTTTACCAATCAGTTGTGGTTCTAACGATAATTGTACCATGTCACCATGATATTGATTGCACCCAAAATCAAGTACTCCTCCTTTCCTATTAAAATTTTCAATTTTCCTTTTTCATTCGTTCTAATTAAAACTTCCATTTTCCCTTTTAGTAAAGAATTTGTGGTTCACAATATTTCTTACACATTTCTCTTTCTTCTGCACAATTCTCCACCACACAATACCCACTATCTTAAATTGTATGCCAAATCTATTTGGAAGATAAAATAGGAACGGAGGGAGTAGTTAAGAGTGCTTTCATATGCATGGTGGTGTATAGACGGGCGTTGAGAATCTAGAGGATTGTTACGGTGACTCGTACTTACTTTTCTCAAGGTTTGAGGCAGGTATTTTAGTCGGGAGCCTATGATTAGTCCCACGATGTAAGGAATCGGGATGACCTCATGCTAATAAAAAATGACATCCTATGATAATATGGATGAGTTCGATGTAATAAGAGAAATTACTAGTGGTGATTCCTAAAATATGACATCCTAGACAGCTTTTTATTTCTAAATTAATGGTGTTTTATATGTATGATGTGTATCTTGATCCTACTTTTTCTCTCTTGAATTCAATTATTACTCATATGGAGTCATGTTTAATTAAGTTTGTAAGTCATATATTAGGGATGGTGGATGTTTTAGACACATTTAGATAAATTTTCCATGTAATAATAATAATGTGTTCTTTTATTGTACCTACCTATGTGTTGCTTTTTTGTTTTGTTAATATATGACGCAAGGCATTGTAAGGGGGTGAATATGTGATATATTTTTCCAAATTCGGATTATTCATTTCCAATATTAGGCATGACAATGGTCTGGGGTGACATATATTGTAAAACTCATACCTGTCACATGAATTGACTAAGTGGACCACTCGTGACCACGAGCATTAGGCGGGAGTTGACTTATGACATGCCCCATGCGTGATGTGTCGCCACACCCCGCCTTGCTATATCCTAATTAACTCATATGCTTCTTTTTGCTTGAATTCATAATTATTACTCCCTCCGTCCCATTTTACTTACTTAATCTTGACTTTTCAAGTCAATGGAGTCTAACTTTGATCGATTATATGTTTATATAGAGAAAGTATTAATAATATGAAAATGATATGAAATTGTTCTTTGTTAAAAATACTATCATAAAAGTATAAAATTATTAAATTTTGCATAAATATATTAGTTTAAATAATTGGTCAAAGTTTATCATCTTTGACTGGAAAAATCAAAGATGGCTAAGTAAGTTGGGACGGAGGAAGTATAAGTTTATAACTCAAACTTATAAAAAGTTATCTCCAAATAATTATAAAAATTAAATATCATAAGTTAAAGTCACAATATAATGAAAATTATCAAAAACTAAGAAAGACCTGACTTGAATAGCTAATCTATGTATATTAATACATAAATATATAAATTACATAGTATAAAACAGACATTGAAAATCATGTGTTCATGTAATTTACATATAAATATTAATATATTATAAGATTAATGAATTTACAATTTATTATACATGTATGTATATGCCTAAAACAATTTTAAAAATAAGTGCATATTTAAATATTAGGCGGACAATATGGGTCAATACAATGTTTTATAAAAATATTTATTGTCAATAAGCTCACCATAGGATTTTAAGAATTTGCCCTAAATGAAAGTAAATATATAAATATTAAAATAGGGTTGTGATGTTTTGATTACTTAAATAGTTAAATATGAGTAGTTATTATCATATTTTGATAATACCGGATTTTAAATATGAATGTTTTGCACACTTGACAATAGTTACTTGAATTTAAAAAAGAAAGACATGAAATACTATTTTAGAATTTTGGGAAAAGGGGCAAATAAGCCCTCGAATTAACCGAAAAAGTACAAATCACCCCTTTTATAGGAGGCTCTGTCCGGCCGTCGCCATTTGGGGTGGTTTCTGGTGGAATTTTTTGATGATTTGTTTTGAGCATGTTCTTCATTAAGTCTAGTTACTCATACCAAATTTTAGCTACAAATGAAATCGGGAAGGCAGTCAAATAAATGTTTGAAGATAAATGTGCAGTTAAATGGCGTAGTATATATATTTCAGAAAATCATTTGACTGCTTTCCCGGTTGAATTTTTAGCTGAAATTTGGTATGAATAAACTAGACTTAATAAAGAAAATTTTCAAAAAACATCATCAAAAAATTACACCGGAAACCGCCCCAAATGGCGACGGCCGAAAAGAGCCTCCTATAAAAAGGGTGATTTGCACTTTTTCAGTTAGTTCCAGGATTATTTGCGCCTTTTCCCTGGAATTTTAAAACGTTTTAATGGAAAGGTTTACCAACCGTTTTAAAGCGGCACCCAAATCAGTCTCTTGTTTGTAATTGAAAGCATTCTCAAACCCCAATTTGTTGATTAGAATGTCGACCTTTTCGTCAGTACTGGTACTTCCCACCACATGAGCACCCAACATTTTTGCAAATTGTCCGGCGATTATACCCGTCCCTCCAGCGGCGGTGGAAACGTACACAACTTCCCCTTCTTTAGGGCGGCATACGTTGAAGATCCCAACATAAGCTGTAAGTCCAACCATCCCTACGATCAATTCAGCCGGTTTATTATACTTCGAGCATATATAGAATATTTTGTTCGAACATAAGTTGTAGCTTTACTTGGCTTTGAATTTTAGATTGAACTATTACACTTTTGACTATGAATAAAAACTACTGAGTAGGAGTGGGCATTTCGGTTTTCGAATCGGTTTTCTTCGGTTTCGGTTCGGTATCGGTTTAATCGGTTTGATAGAAAATGTACCAAATACAAACCGATTAAGTTTCGGTTTGGTTTCGGTTTGGTATGTTTCGGTTCGGTTTGGAGTTCGGTTTACCAAAGTATTAAGGTTTGGATTGAAATAAAAAAAATTAACTCAAAATAATGAACCAAGGAGTGATAGTAATAAAACAAATATAATGTTAGATATAAATTTGCAAACAGTAACAAAACACATATGAACCAAAAATATATAAGCATGACACATTTGTAAGCAACAACAACAACGAGAATGAATCAAATTATATATAAAGCCGAAATAAAAATAAAACTGGTGCTCGTAAGTAATGAACCAAATATATAGTAGTAAATAAATTATAGTTAAATACTATCTACTTAAACCACTATAATTGTTATAGTTGTGAATGTAACTCTTGTAGTAAACTCTAGTCTTGGACACTAAAATTAAAGAATTAAAGCTTCAAAAAGATTAACATCAATCAAATTAATGAGAGAAATCTTATATTTTGGTTTGGTTTAGTTTGGTGTAAGTTGGTTTTGATTTGTTATTTTAAAAAAATAAGAAATTATTTCATTTTTAGATTAGTTCGGATTTATTCGGTTTTATGATTTCGATTCGATTTGGTTCGGTTTAATACGGGCTGGGAGGAATACTACCAAACTCAAACCAAATTACAAATGGTTCAGTTTCGGTTTGGTTTAATTCGGTTTGGTACGGTTCGGTTCGGTCAAACCGGACCGTTATGCCGACCCCTACTACGGAGTATTAGTTTAAGAATCACGGTGAAATTCTAAAGATATAAATCGCTTTATATAGGACTAAAATTTAGACAAAATGCACAAATAGGACTACATGTATTTTATTACTGAAATATGATTTATTCGATCCTATTGAAAGTAACAGTTTTCTAACATGAAAACTGTTGTAGTTGAGTATATATACCCGTAGACGGCATATCATAGTGAAATAAAAGTACAATTGCAATTTCTCGATCACGTTGAACACTTTTTTATTTGAAATTTATTACTCCCTCCATCCCAAAAACAACTTCTGTTTGGAAATATGTTTGACTAGCACACATATTAAGGAAATAAACTTACTGGGGGATAAATTTTACTATTTGGAAACTGTTTGGACATTGTTTGGACACTGTTTGACACTGTTTTGATGTACATAATTTGGCAAATAAGGAAGTGAGTGAGAAGAAGTGTAAAGTTAATTTTGGGACATCCATTTAAGGAAAGTGAGAAGTTGTTTTTGGGAGGGAGGGACTATATACATACTACACAATTAACCTTGTACCGAATTAGAGTTTTATCTATTGATTTGATAAATTTGTAGTGTACCTAAAATGCCAGTATAGTAGGATAATGGCACATCACCATCATCATGTACATTTGGTTGGATCTTGAACAAAATGCTGGGATTTTTAATCAAGCTGTATTCTTCCCAACCAGTAATGCCCCAAACATGGTCTCCCGCTTTGAAACCTGGGTCGCTTGATTTAAGGACTTTGCATACGCCAAATCCCTCGATTACCTGATTTTAAATGATAACTCATTAATCAATTGATATAATAGCCCTAAATATGACTAAATTAGGATTAAATATAATATCCCTAAATGAACAAATAAGACTATGTCATGTATCTTCCCTAAATAGGATTAAAGTATATTCTATCTTCCTATTCTACCCTTACCACAACTTAATAGGATAATCATATTTGGGAAAAATAATTAAAATATCCCAAACTTTGATGGGGTATGAGATAAGCACCCCAAACTTGCATATGTAATTTAAATACCCCAAACTACGTATAAAAAGTTATTTTAGTACCATGGTCATGTATTATTTTTTTCAAGACGCGGGGACGTTCGTCTCATAGGGACGAACGTCCCCAGTTCCCCACCCCCTGGTCATTTACGTCCCCCCTCTAGGTGCTCATGGGGACGAACTAGACTTGGACTCGGGCCGGGTCGGGCCCGGGCCGGCGGTTCTGAATAGCTGGACCCAGGACCGGCCCGGGTAGCCATCGGGTCCGGTCCGGGCCTCGGGTTTTTTTTTTTGCTTACCTACCCATCCCTGACCCCCCTCACCCCACCCCCCAAATCCCCCAAACCCCTCCTAAACATAAAGCCCAACACGGGTGGAGTCCAAACAAATGAAAAAAACCAAAAAAAAAAAATCAATTTGGCCCGAACCAGGCCTTGTTTTGGGTGACCCGAGCTCGGATCGGAAACCCGGCCATCAGGTCGGGCCTACCCGGACCGGTCACAGACTGGGCCACCGGTTCGGGCAAGGCCGGAACAGTACCGGTCCTAGGCCGGTTCCGGGTCGGGCCACCCGGCCCGAGTCCAAGTCTAGGACGAACGTCCCCGCATCTTGAAAAAATAATATAATACATGATCATGGTGCTAAAATAACTTTTTATATAAAATTTGAGGTATTTAAATTACATATGCAAGTTTGGGGTGCTTATCTCACACCCCATCAAAGTTTGGGGTATTTTAATTATTTCTCCATCATATTTTAATTTGTACTCCGGTAATAATTACAAAAAATACTAAAAATAATTTAACTTATACAAAAATTCGTAAAAATATATTAAAAAATCTAAAATTAAATATTTTTAGAAAATACGAAGATCATAAAAATTAAAAGCAAATTAAAAAAATTAAAAACTTTAAAAATAAATAAATAAAAGATTAAACACCTTCAAAAATAAAAAAAAATACGGAGGCCTTTCCCACAGTATCGGCTACTAATACCCAACAACTTTATCTCTGATCGGCTAAAACATGTCATTTTGTGTAAAACTGCCATTGTTTCTCTTGAAATGCCATGAAGATGACATTTTAATTTTACTCTTGAAAATGCCAATTTTTTCTCGAAAACTGCCATCAAGATGGTATTTCTGACACATGTTGTCATTTTTTTGGGTGATCGGAGCTGGTAGTATGATACTTCCTCCCTCCCGTTTTACCTGTCCTACTTTTCTTTTTGAGTTGTCCAAAAATATGTGTCACACTTCTTTGATGGAAAGTAATAAGTGGTCAACAACATTTCACTTTACTACACTCAAATCTCAATCACAACTTTTTTTCAATCACTTTATTAATAATTGTGCCAAATCAAAGTATGCTACAAAAAATGGGACGGAGGTAGTAACATTTATTGAGGAAGATTTATGCACTTCTAAGATGTCCTATAGATGTAGATGAACCTTAATCATTTATTAAGATTAAAAATTAAAATACACAATAGAATAAGCAATAAAAATTAAAGATACTTTTAATTGGACTGAAATTAAAGATACTTTTAATTGAACGAAATTTTCTAGTCGGGCCTCTATCTCGCTCAACACGACTTGTTTAAATCTAGTGTGGTATGTGCAAAGTCTGTTTTATGTTTGTTTTATTATTGTCTAAGTCCGCTTTGATATGGTCTGATTTGATTTGATATTTAAATCATTCCAATTAAAAACATGCTAAGATGAGCTTAATATCACCTTAATTTAGAAAAAATACATTCTAATACTCTTTCCATCCAGCAAAGAAGTTCACACTTTGAGCTACTCACATGTTTATGTAAGCTAAAATTTTGGGTTGACATTCTAAAGTTACCCTCAGTTTTTGTGAAGTCAAGCTAATAGTAGTTAAAAATAAGGTTAGTTGAGACATTTTCTATTAAAAATTGTTTTTACAAAAATAGGAATTTCATTTTGGGACACGCAAAAAAGAAAAGTGGAAACTTCTTTTTTAGAGATAGGGAGGTACAAGATAAAATGAAATTTCATTTCTAACCCTTCGAGGATTATACGAATCCATACTAGATTTATTGATGTTTTAAGTTGGACTAAAATATTGTGATCTATTCTGTTTAGATCTGTTTTAGTCTGAAATTGCCTTATAGATGTCTATTTTGTGTGTAGTTTACAATTGTAGATGGTTGGTTTGTTTAAGTCCGGTCTCATCTAGGATTAACCGGTCCAATTAAAAACATCATATGCATGTCTATAATGAATTTTGTCCCTATTGGGTACAAGACTATTGTTTTTGTCTATTTGAAGTCTTTCTAGCCAAATTGCTGGCCATGTGTTGGGCCGGAAGAAGCAAATAAAGAACAATACGTAGTACGAAGTATATAGCAAAATATCAAAAGCGAGCATAGTTAGAACATGAATCTAACGTGAGAATGTATATTGAGATGATTAAAAATATTTGGACCAAACAAATAATGCATGGCAGGGCATATATATACTCCATAGTCCATACAGTGATAGATTGAGATACTTTAATTTATTACGAATTATCCTATTTTAGTCAGTCATCTTTGACATTTTCAGTAAAAAATAATAAACTTAGATCAAATGTTGTAATTAATATACTCCGTATTTAATAATTTTATACTTTTGTAATAGTATTTTTGCATCGACAAAGAACATTTTTATAGCACTTTTATACGGTAGTATTATAAATACTTGTGAAATAATTGGTAAACTTGAAAATTCCTAACTAAAATGGGAGAGGAGTAGTTAAGATAAACGTGATTTGGTTATATTATTAATGTGCAAAGTAATTACTCCCTCAGTTCTTTTTTATTTGCAACGGGCAACATTTCACATTTGGCAACGCACGTCTTTGATCGTAATTATATCTTAATTCTATTAGTAAAAAATATTAAAAATCAGATTTTGAAAATTTGTAATGAGATGAATTGAACGATATTTTTTTTTAAAAATATTTTTCATTAAATAATAATGTAAAATGTAGTCAAAGTAGAGCATGTGAATAGTGTAAAATTCAACATGTTTCGATTAAAACGGAACGGAGGATAGTATTACTTACAGATCCAAGGTTGAAGGGAAGGAGCAAGTCAATATTATCAGAGTGATCGTGTTGAGACATTCGGTGGATGAGGTAAGGGTCACATGCCAAGTACATATTCTTCACCAGAACGGCAGCTTGAGGAATTTGAGACGAGATGCTGGACATTCTCACCTCCATGTCGCCCTCTCTCGGCAATCCTTTCACATACGTCTTCAGAACCACTTGCTTGTTCCTCATCACCGCTGCATAATCATCATCTCCGCCCATTTTATATACTTTTCCTTAAGATCGATGTATATGTGTAGTCTGTAGAATAATTAAGCTCAGCTAAGACCCGAGTATATATGTATATATGTAGAAACAATTACTGTAATAAGCTAGCTAGCTCTTCGAATTGTGCTGATGCGGCGGCAATGCATATATAGGAAAAATTTGCAAATTTGCACCCAATCGATCAATATACTCTCTCCATCCTTGAAAATACTTCTAAAATTTCTCTTTTCATCCGTCCCAAAAAAGAACTTCACTTTCCCTTTTGACAAAGAATTTGTAATTCACAGCAATTCTTACACATTTTTCTCTCTTCTGTACAACTATCCACCACACAAAACTCACTTTTTTAATCTGTGTACCATTTGTACTATGAAAGTAAATTATGGGACGGAGGGAGTAATAATGATGGATTCTGAATCGAGGAATGGGCCGGAGATATATAGTTTGGTAAAGTACGTGGTTGAAACTTAGATTGGAAACTGACATATATATATATACATATATACATATATATATATATATACATATATACATATATATATACATATATACATATATATATATAGGGAATAGTTCAAATAAAAAGAGCTCTTCCCGTGCAAAGTGCGAAGATATGCACTTTTGTATGTTTCGCTTGCACTTTTGGGTGTTTCTGTTGCACTTTTTCGCGTTAACGAAAAAGTGCAACATATTTACGAAAATGTCACCGTGATTTTGGTCGAATATTGTGCATTTTTGGCTCATTTTGAGCCATTAGATGTGGAAATGAATGCACAAGATTCATTCTCACTTTGCATGGGAAGAGGTCTTTGTATTTGAACTATCCCCTATATATATATATATATATACAGTGGCGGAGCCAGAAAAAAAGGCTCAGGAGGGTCGAAACTCAACCTGTATACAGAGTGAAAATGGTGTATCATTTTTAAATATTGTCCAAGTTGAATATTTCATATGTATTTTAGATATGTATATATGCATTTGTAGCAATAAGACATATTGTCTTTGCTCTGTTTCTGAGTCGTGTCACGTAAGTATTGAGTGAATTATACCTTATTTTTAAAATTTGGGAAAATAATCTATAGTATGCATCATATTTTGCTGATTTCACGTTTAGATAATGCTGATTTTCTGGAAGGCATAAATTTTTACACGTAATGAGTTACAGGGGCCATAATATATCAAATCGAAGATATTTCAGATCTCTATACACTCAAACTTTCAGCGGGGTCGGATGACCACCCTGACCCCCCGGGCTCCGCCCCTATATATATATATAGAGAGAGAGAGATTAGCAAAATGAGAAGAATGCTTATCGTAAGAAGTGAGAATGCATCTTGTGCGTTCAATTTAAGATATGTGCATCAGATTAGCAAAAAAGTGCACGGGAAAGTGCAAATAAGATTAAAAATGTGATGCTAGACGCGGTGGCATTTCCGTAATTAATCGGAACTTTTCTGCAATCACAAAAAGTGCATCAGATTAGCAAAAAAGTGCATCAGAAATAGGTAAATGTGTAACTTCTCACTTCTCACGTTAAGATGTCTTCTCATTAGAACCCAACCCTATATATATATATATATATATATATATATATATATATATATATATATTAGAGATCAAATACAAACTAGGCTTAATTTACTAACCTACAAACTAATCATGACCGTTTATTTAGATTAGATTAACGGGCGTTTCATTTAAGTTGTTCACAACCAACTAATTAAAATTGAGGGTGTTTTGGTCAATTACTCAACTTTATAATGGAACAAAAATCAGGCTCGTTACTTTCCATTCCCTTAGCCGCCTACTTTCCATTCTTCTTTCTTTCCACCATTCCATCGATCATGGTGTTCATCTGTGTGCTTGTCTTCCTCATCTAGATTATGAATTGTTTCAGTTAATCATCTCTCATCATTATCATCAAACGCCATGGAATCAGGTATTCATATATCTTTGATAAACTCTGTTTTCATACAAAGAACTTCGGATGTATTATTCCTTGTGGTTGTTCGTGTTTCCTGATCGTGCATTTTAAATTTAATTGATTCGCATAACAGGTTGATGTTATCCTGTGTCTTCTTGCAAACAAATTTCATAATTAAACGTTGATAAGGTTACCTCCCTTCACTTCGTAGGTTTGTTTTTCTTGTGTTTACTCAATTGTATATAAATCAGGAATGAAATTGAACTACATCATCATTAACGTGAAGGGTGAACATAATTATTCTAATATTTGTTGAAATTTCTCTTTGTAATTCATCTTTGTCTCATGCAAGGTATAAAGTATGTATTATGCATTTGTTTTGGTTTTATGGTGCATTTAGTGAAATAAGATTTCAGTGTTGTTTAATATTGTTTTATTTCATGTTTAATATTATTTATTGTTTGTTGTTTATGTAGATTTGAATTGTGCTTTACAAATTTCTCCTGGGGTTCAAAGTACTAGATCCCTGGATGCTCACCCGAAAAGAAACCGGTTGTTGGGATGATATTTCCTAATCTAGATGCTGACTTGAATCTTTACAATGACTATGCAGCTGAATTTGTGTTTACTATTCGTCATCATACATCAAAGAAGGCCGGAGATGGTCATATATTCATGAAGTATATTGTATGCAGTTTCTGAAGTTTGCCCGAAAAATAGTTAATGAGTGTCTAATAAGATTGAATGTTAAACTCTTTTAACTCTGAAATGATAAGATGCACATCATATAACCTTAATATGCACATCATATAACCTTAATATGCATATCACAAAATGATAAGATGCACAATATTAACTTCTAAAATGCACATGTCATAATGATAAAATGCAACCTATGAACTGAAAATACAAACGTCATAACAATGAAATATAGTATGAACTATTAAAGTGCACATATCATCTTACTACAGTGCAATATTCGAACTTCTAAAATACACATGCCATGATGATAAAATGCAACATATGAACTACTAAAATGCAACATCGACATATGTTATAAGTATGCACTTCTAATATATCTTTTGTGGATACTATGAGTGTATAATGCAGATCCTGTATTCTCAATATGTATATCACGTGACATTAATATGCACATCATATAAACTTAATATGCATATTACAAAATGATAAGATGCATGATATGAATTTCTAAAATGCACATGTCATAATGATAAAATGCGCGCAACATATGAACTCAAAAATGCAGACGCCATAACGATGAAATGCAATATGAACTATTAAAGTGCACATATCATCGTACTGCACTGCAATATAAGAACTTCTGAAATGCACATGTCATGATGATAACATGCAACATATGAACTGTTAAAATGCAACGATGACATATTTTATAACTATGTACTTCTAATATAAGTTATGTAGATATTATGAGTGTATAATGCACATCTTGTATGCTTAATATGCATATCACGTGACATTAATATGCACATCATATAACCTTAATATGCATATCATATAACATTATTATGCACTTGAAGTAAATACATTGTGCTTCAATTAATTTATGTTGAACTATTGACTTCTACAATCAAGAGCTCTACGTCTTACCATATTTAGGTTTAAAAAATAAATAATTTATTATAAAGTGTTTCATTTTGTAAATTGAAAGAGCATCTCCAACGCTACAATGTGCACGATGCGCATGTGCCATTAGAGAGATATAAACATAAAAATGGAGAGAAATGTGAATGATTTATTTTACTGTTTCTATTTCTCTCATGCCAAAAATGGAGATATAGAAATGGTAAAATGCATAAAAATGGTAACTTTCTTCATAATGGAAGGCTTTCTTTTTGTATTATGATACGTGGATGCAATTTGTGCAATTTAAAGACCTCCAACTCACCTTTTTTATTATTAAAAATGGAAGGTCAATCATGAAGTAATTCAAAAATGGGAAGTTAGTTACTTGGACACGGAATTAAATGAGAGGTGGCTAAACATCAATGATTGCATAATTCAAACTTACCAAAATAACAAAACGCACGTTGCTACTACAGTAAATCAAATGACTCATATACCCCCTTTTAAATTCATTGACCGATTAAAAATTGCTTCCAAATTTTATTCCATGCATGTGAGTGCAGAAGTTTAATGATGCATCCCATATGGAAGGCCGTCCGTTTTTCTAATCCAACGGATGGTATTGGTTTGTAGTTTGCACCGGAAGCCTAGTTTGTATGGGATCTTCCCCATATATATATATATATATATATATATATATATATATATATATATATATATATATATATATATATATATATATATATATATATATATATATATATATATATATACTCCCTTCGTCCCGCAATGAACTTCCCACTTTCCTTTTTTGGATGTCCCAGAAATAAGTTCTCATTTCCTTAAATGGCAAGTTAATCTACATCAAAACAGTGTCAAACAGTGCCAAACTGTGTTGAAACAGTGCAAAATAGTGCCAAACGGTGTCGAAACAGTGTCAGAACAGTAAAATTTACCCCATGATAAGTTTATTTCCTTAATATGTGTGTAGGTCAAACTGTGAAGTTCATTGTGGGACGGATCGGAGGGAGTATATATATATATACACTCCCTCCGATCCGTCCCACAATGAACTTCACAGTTTGACCTACACACATATTAAGGAAATAACTATATATCATAGTTAGTTAAATACGGTATGGGAATTAAACGAGGTTTAATACGTACGTGTTTTATTCTGTAACATTAATGAAAAGACGGTCAAAAATGCGTTCAAAAAACGCTGACTTTTAAAAAACGTGTTAATACGTATACGTGTATAATACGGTATCTGTTACAAAAAATCGGACAAAAAATACGGGTACTATTTTGAACATTTAAATTATATACTTAACAAAATAACATATATAGTAAAAAGAAACAAAAGTTTACACATATTCAAGTTGTAAATCTCATTACTACATAAAAAAATAATTCTTAATTACATAAGTCGATGATAAAAATAAAAATAGTAATCAAGTCCAAGACACGATTTTGTAAACAAATAAGACATAAAATATAGATTAAGCCTAAGTTAAAATGTTTATCTTTATATGATCATCAAATAACACTCAATTTAAATTCATCATTTTCATCAAGATGACGGATGACATATGCGACTACTACGCACGCTTCTTATTATTTATGTGTAAAAGTTTATACTAAAAAAATGTCAGGTTTAGAATTACTTTAATTTTGACATGCTTATTTGAAAAAACAACAGATTTCTAATACTATGTAGTATTTTAAGTTTTAGTCTTTAAGAATTTTAGCTTTAGCCTCCATGCAATTCATTAAGGGTATTGTTGTCGAGTCATTTGATCCTTACTTCGTATATATATAGAGAGTGGATCAGGTGAGAAGTGCTCTTAAGCTGAGAACTGCGAAGTTTAACTAATAGACTAAAAA